ACAGCAGAGAATGAAGTGGCTGGCAGGAGTCATTGAAGCAGTAGGCATGGGATTAAATGGACTCCAGGGGATGGTAGAGGACAGGAAGGCCTGGAAGAACGTTGTCCATGGGGTCACAATGGGTCGGACACGGCTTTGCAACTAACAACAAAAACAATCCTTTCAATGACTGAGAATGGAATCCAGCTCACCCAGCTGATTTATTTAGTAGTTTGATTTCTATCTGATTTATTAGCTAGTCAAGTCTAATCCAGTCCACTTCAGTCCCCATTTTCCATGCATTAGGTATACAAACCTAAAGTTATATACAGGTGACCTCAGAACACAATTGAGCTCAACATTTCTGTTAAGTAAGACATCTGATAACTGAGTTTTAACCCGTTTTACCACCTTTCTTGCCACAGTTGGCAAGTGAATCACTGCAGTTAACATGATTGTTAAATGAATCTGGCTTCCTCATTGACTTTGTTTGTGGGAAGATCACAAAAAGGGATCACATGACCTTGGGAGACTGCAACAATGATAGGTATGAACCAATTGCCAAGCATATGAATTGTGATCTATTGATCATGGGAATGCTGCAAAGGTAGTAACTCTGAAAAATGGTCATAAGTAATTTAGTGCTGTTGTAACTGAATGATCACTAAACAAATGAATGATCACTGTTGTATGTCAAGGACAACTTGTAAACTAACATTTTGACATAAATAGCAGTTCGGATGTTTTCCTGGTAGAGGAATACAGGATTAATAAATGGAATTATCCAACATGTATTTTATATTCAGGATCTTACATTTATTGTTACATAAATGGTTATATAACGATTGGACAAACTTAAAGGATATAACCCATTAAGTTATAAACATGAACTGGAAGCTGCAATATTTGTGTAGTAACATTACATGTATTTGCAGAAAACAGCTGATAGCTATACATCATTGTCCAAGTATACCTTTTGTCTCTTTTAAAACAGTTTGGATTCCCCCTTGATTCTCAATTGTTTCAAAAATCTTTTTTGATATTCTCTTGTCCTTCAGGTGATCTTGTGTTATACCAGCTTGGGTAAATATCATCTTTAATTCCGGCTCTATATTGGTCTACAAGATAAACCCATAATAACAACTTATATCAGAAGAATGGTAATGAGCCTCTTTGCTTCAAGTTCACCAAATTCACTGTTTGAGGAGGGAGGGTTGTAAACATTGAAGCAAACATGAAGATTTACTGTGCAAGGAGTAAAGTATAAAGATGCAAATAAGAAATAAGAAAAACAAGTTTTTGGCAATTGCAAGTCTGCCCATTTGCTTCAAGCTTAAGGGAAGACTTTTGTAAAAAAAAATCTCATTGCATATCATAAGTCATTTAGACCACACTTTTCTGACACATTAAGTGAAAGTGTAAATTTAACAAACAGAAAACCAGTTTTTGCTTTAATAGCAAGGCTTTCAAAATAAATACAAATGGGAAAGATATGATCCCAAAGGAGTAGTTATAGACCTTGGCAACTACTTACAACAAACTCCGTCTGGGGGCTCCGTCCAATGTGACACAGATATCTAAAATATATTAAATTTTTAATATCAGTGAAAATATACAAGTTCCAGACATGTGTATTAGCTTCCCATAGTACAAGCTATGTTTTTAAATTTTACCTTCCATCCCCAGCACAAATGAAGACATACTCTAAAAAGCAACTGTTCCAAAGAAGATAGCAAAGATAAAATGCTTATAATATACACACACAAATTTATTTTTGCTTACTTGAAATTACTTGGAGATCCAATGTAAGTTTTGGTCAGTCTTTTTCTTTTTAATTTTCCTCTCTTCGTTCTCTCAAGCATTTTTTGAATTATATAAAATGAGAAAGGTGAGCCCTTGCATTTTGGAGATCTGGCATTTGATTGAAGCACAGGCAATGGACTAGCTACTTTTGATAAAGATGCTAAAAGACAGAAGAAATTCAACTGATATACCCTACATTACTGAATGCCAGACAATTTCAAACATGTTAGTTGCTGCAGAAAAAAAATAGTTGTCCAATTTCATATATGTAGTTTCTATTTCCAAGTTTGTTTGGGGAAGCAAGCTAGCTCTTTTTTCATAAGAAGTTTTAATCAGTAAATTAAATCAATTTCAGTATAACATGTCATGTTTAAAACTATTTTTTCAAATTATATTACCCATTTTGAATACTCCCCAGAGATGGAACGTAAGTCAAATGAATAACTTTTAAATTAAACTTGATATAATAAATCAGAAAATATTTTTAAAGCATTGCTAATACACTTTGGTCTAATTAAATCTCTCCATCTACCTCACATGTTGCTGTTATAAGAAAAAAAGTGAAGAATATAATATATATTACATTTATATTCTCCTCCTAGAGAATATATAACTAAAATCTCCTTTATTACAGTAATTGCTCCATTTCACAAATATAGAACATTTTGGCTAACCAAAAACACAAAAAAATATTAAAAAACCCTAATAAAGCCTTATATTCCTTAACTTTCTCTGCTGAATAGAGAAAAAAAGAACAGCCTCTTTTTAAAATATCCAATTTACCAATTGTTATTCCCTCTCCATATAGTGCCATTTTATCACAAGTTAGGTTACACTCTTCTCAGCAGCCTTTAGCAGTAACACTCCTTAGCAGAGCAATTAATGAGTGAACTTAAATAATAAGGGAAATGTAAGTGCAGCTGTGAATAAATTCAGCCTAGGAGTTGACACTAGTTGAGCCTTTCTACAGCATAATTTCAACTAATTGATTTCAGGGTTGAGGTTTTGACTCCTAAAGGTAGACCGAAGATAGATAATCAGTGAAACCCTGCAGTGAATTATGGGTAGTTTCCCACCAGATGAAAATTCCAGGAGTTGTTTTTAGTACATTACCCTGAGTTGCTAGGGTTACTAGCCAACATAACTAGTAATGAGGAGAATTGCAGTCCCAATATAATTGGAAAGTGATGTATTGGAAGTTGTACTGTGTTTACCTGAATTGGCTTGGTTTGTAATGGACCATAGATATGCTTAAATGCCAAGTATATTTCAGGACTGATGCATAGAGCCAGTTTGGTCTAGTGGTTAAAGTACCAGGCTAGAAATCAGGAGCCTGAGAGTTTCAATCCTGCCTTAGCCATGAAAGCTGGCTAGGTGTCCTTAGTTCACATCACAGGGTGGTTGTTCTGGGGAAAATAGGAGGAAGGACTATTAGATATGTTTGCCACCCTGAGTTATTTATAAAAGCAATATACATAAAACTTTTGGTACCAAACGAATAGCCAAATGCTATATTCATATAGCATGTTAAGCCATGGTTTACTTAACTATAACTTGATAGTTCAGCCAGATGCAGCTGACTTCATTCAACACTTCAAGTCAAAATACAATAAGCCACAATACATGAATCCAATTCGAGGTTATACATGCATGGCCCACTAAGCCAAAGTGGAAATTGAGTCAATAAGTAAGCAAAGTTTCTCGTATTGTAACCACACAGGGCTTTTTAATCAAAGGCTTGACTGACCCACAATTTCATTTACAGAATTTCTAATCAAGGCTTGTAATGTTTCAAATGGAACAATAATCACAGGAGTCTGGTTAAGAAGTCCTGATGGATAGTAAAATGATGCCACACTTAAACAGACTTTTGGATTTAGTGTATCAAACATAGCATGTAGAGAGTATGTTTATATTTGCAGAGCAAGCATCCAATCATCCTTCAAACATTATAAACCTCTTCGGGCCAGAAAGTGGAATAGTAATATATTTCTTCACTCTGAAACTATAAGAGAAGGAAATCAAAGTGCTTATATTTGTATACATACTCCAGATGGCTTGCTGGTGCAAATTTGTTAGTCTGCAACTCTCATCTGACTCAGCATATTTTTCCATGTAGCCTATATGGAGACACCATTTTATACGCATTGTTTTACAACATTATATTTAATCTGATTTCCTGATCCACCACATGGAAAAACAATTCAGGGTTTATTCAGATAGTGAGGCAGATTCCTATGCACAGTTGTGCTCCTGCAAGTGAGAAGCATAATAAAAGAGAAACAAATTATACATATTTGCGCTGTTCATTTAGGAAGAAATTAATCTGATTATTTAAGTAGCCAAAATTAAAATTAAGAGTATAAATACTTAATTACACATTCTAACACTCTGGAGAGTGGCCTGCTTATAGATAGCAATCAAGTAATGTGTAAGGATCAGAAACAGGATTATGGTTTCCTTAAAGCATCACATCTAAGAAGACAAGCCAGAAATGTCAATTAGTTTTCCTTTCCATCCATCCCACCAGCACACAAGTGCTAGATGTTTTGTAGTAAAGGCATTACAGTTTTCAAATACCGTATATACTCGAGTATAGGCCGACCCGAATATAAGC